GGGCTCGAGAAAGTTAATTTTGCTTCAAAAAAAATTTTAAAGACCATTCGAATGAACTTACGGATGACAAACACTTCACAATTTGTTCTGGCTGATCCATAGACGTTCTCAGCAACGCATCGATAGCAACCGGCATCTTGTCGACTAGCTGATTGAACTACCAACTCGCACTCGCCATCGGGGGATTCAATCTAAAAACTTTTATTCAATCTTGTTGATAAAATTTCTTTCGAATATCAATCTTTTCTGTGAATACTTCAAAATTTCAAAATTGCACTGTAGTGGCAAATAATATGGTTTATATAATAAAGATAAAACTATAACACATCAGAAATTATATTCTCACCAGTTGTAGTCTTCCATACGGGAACACTCTTTCACCATCCTTAAACCATTTGATTGATAACTTTTCACCGCCAAACTTGCATCGTAGACGGAACGGTTGTTTCTCGGGTACCTAAAAATCGTTCAAATATCTCACTTTTCTTTATTTGACCCACGTTACATACCTTGACATTCTCCAATGGCTCCAGTAATCGTGGCACCTTATTGGCATCAAACTCGTCTGTAGGCACACGACGATCGGCATCACGAGGAGCACGTTTGACCGTGGCATTGCCTTTGTCGTGGGCAGATCCAGATGGATTAGTGGCAATTACTCGATAAATGCCTGAAAATAAGGTGACTTGACTGGCAAATTTATAATCTTGAAAAGGCTACGAAACCGATTGGGAGGCTCTAGATAAATCATAGCCAAAGCGGCAGCTCATATGATTCATTCGTGGTCGAGAAATGATCCAAGCTCCCCAACCCATACCGTTCTCCTCTCGACCAAACCAATCAGCGTCCCCGAGTACGGTAAGTATGGGTATGGTTTGGGCAGCAATTTAGAGTTGGGTATCTTGAGCAAATAAATCATACAAGTTGTTGCTCCTTGTCACTGTCGACGGAAACGACGCATAAACACTTGAATTTGCCTGGGCGAGAGTTTATTTCGCGATTTGAACTTACCCTCATCATCCATGGTACACTGCGGAATCAGCAACGTAGCTGTGCCATCCGGTTTCATGCTGATTTGCACACGATCTGATGGCTTAATCTGCAAAAAAGAGCAATTCGTTCTTTTTCACTTCTCAGTTTTTTTT